AATAGTTTTTTTCCTTCCTCTTTTTAAACAAGATCAATAATAGTTTCCACTTCCTCCATTGAGTGACTCAAACTCGAGACCTATTTATAATAGTACTATTTAATTGTTTCTCGTGCATCGCAAGGGCTACACACTAGTTTGTTATATATAAATTAAATATATATGTAACGCATATTTAGTGCATTCATTATGCATATTTTGTTATACTTAAATTAGTTCTATACATGATGCATATTTAGTTCATATCAGATACATATTTAGTTCATTCATAGTGCATATTTAGTTTATTCATAATGCATATTTAGTTCATTCATAATGAATATTTAATTTATTCATAATGCATATTTAATTCAATCACATCGCATATTTTGTTCATTCATAATAAATATTTAGTTAATTCATAATACATATTTATTATATATTAATGAAATAGAGCAAGCGGCAAAAATTCAAAATTGGTCCTATAACTTGGCTACAGTCCAAAAAATCACCCCGATATTGACCACTTTCATTTTCGGTCCTATAACTTGTCGATTTCATCAATTTTGGTCCTTTTTTATCCGACCCTGGATAAAAATATTGACCACTTTCATTTTTTTTGTCACTATACTGCAATTCAGTAGTCACTAATGTGCAATTGATATAGTACTAATGTACACTCAAAATGAAGCTATGTTTTTAATTGATTTTTCTCAAACCAAACTAAAACCGAAATATTTGGTTTATTTGATCAGTTACATAAGTTAACCTAAATAACTAAATAGTTTATAATTTATATTGCAAAAATATAAGTATTTAAATATTGTATATAATATTTTATATTATTTTTTTATTATAAAGACCTAAAATGTATATATATAAATATTTATACAAAGTAACTTTTTTTATATAGCTCGATCGGTTTGGCTATATTAAGCAATAAAGTAGACATCGCACCGAGATAATCAAAATTTTAAAAGTAAAAACAAATAATCGAACCAAAATATAAAATTCAAACTCAAAACTTTGTGTGTCCGTTTTGTCTGCTATAGTGCAATCTGATAGTCACTAATGTGCAATTCGTCTATCATTAATGTGCACTCGAAACGCAACTATTTGTATAAAAATATATTTAGTATTTTAATACTTTTATTTAATAATTATTATTTTCTGGTTGAAAAAATATGATAAATATATGTATAAAAGTATACAAAATATATATAAAAATTAATATTTTTTTACATATTTTATATAAATTGTAAATTTTACCCATGTGCTAAATTTAACTATATCAAAACTAGTGAATTAGTTAAATTGTAGATTTGACCAGAAGGACTAAATTGTAATTTAGATAAAATTACTATCAAAATCTTAATTAAAATCTCAATCAAGATCTGATCGACTGCTCCGTGACTCCGTCTCTATCCCAAAACCTTCGCCTGCCACCGAGCATCCGCCGGCCTTCCAAGAGCTTCCTATGTATAAGGAAGGGGCTGGTGGCTAAGCTTGCCTCGACTCAACGTCAACAGGAAACTCCCACAACTTAGAAAGTGGCTTGTACTTTCACCGTCCGCCCCTGGTTTCCCGTCATTGGATCCCTTTCGAGGCCTCTTCGACATATATGAATTTCTCAGCCACGCGAAGACCTCATGGTCGGCCACATCCTCAAGAGTTTACTTTAGATTTTGTGTTCATCAATTTTATGTTTGATTTTGTATTCATCTAATTTAGCCGATAAATTGTTGTGCTTGCCGGAATTATCCGAGCTCATTGGGCGTCGTTGAGTTTCTTCGTGGGCGGCCGAATTTCGGCCTCCAAATGCTCGAGGTCGGATGTGCTCGGCGGTGATTTGAATTGCAGCCGGAATTTCTGTTTTTTTTTTCTCGGGTCTGACCAAAGGTAGAGGGCTGAGAGCGGCGTTGATTGGAGCAGTAATCGGATTGTTGGAGGCAGCGTACGGAGGTGCAGCGGCTGTGGTTCGACGAAACTGTAGCGGCGGTTCCGACGGCGGATGGCGAGAACCAGCGGTGCGTGTGTTCTATTGTATGTTCCGTGAAGTGTGTGTGCGTGAACTCTGTTTGTGCGTGTCAATGTTGAGGAAGGCGGTGGCAGGCTGAAAGCGGCGGCGCCGGCGGTGGCTGGTGGCGGGGGACCGGTGGGTGTGTGTGTGTGCGTCGAAAGTGTGTGCACTGTGTGGGGTGTGTGTTACTGTGTGTACAGTGTGTGTGAGTTGTGTTTATGCGTAGAAGACAATGTTAGAATGAGATATATGGGGCCCACTTGACACAAGTAAATGATGATTGTCTATTATACCCTTAATGAATGAGTTTATTACAACCATCGGATGATCAGATTTTGTGATTTAGATCTATACTTATTTCTTGGGTGTTACTATTCACTGCCCCCTTATTACTATTTACTGCCCTTAGACATTTTTGCCCCTGCTATTTTTTTCTAAAAAAAAAAAAAAATTATTGTTATCCGGCCGCCGAAACCGGACGGCCCAAATGGCGTCCGGCCCCGACGGCCGGTCGTGACCGGTCCGACCGGCCGGACACCATGTTTTTTTTTTTTTAAATAATATTATTATAAATTATTATGTTATATATTCAAAATAATTTGTTATAAATTGGACATTAGAATAAAAAAAAATCATTCAACTAAAGTTTAGCAAAACAAAAAAAACCATTCAACTTAAAAAT